GGGGCGGAGGGGTTGCCCTAGGAAAGCTCAGCCTCCGACGGGGGAACAGGCAGCTCCGCAGTCGGGGCCACACACAACTTCTGAGGTTTTAGCTCTGGTTACTGCTTCGTCGGGTCCGCAATTTGCTAGCTAGGTTGAAGTGGGGGTGGGTGTACTTGCTCATGCCACAGTTGCGTTTTGTTTCCCTCTAGCTTTAAAAGCTGCTTTGATTTAAGCCTAATTATAAATGCTTGCTGTTGTAACTATAGATTGACCCTGTGTTTTCAGCATTCACCTTGAACTTCAGTTCAAGGCTGGTGAAGTGAGGCCAGCAAACCCGCTGGTGAAGATTTACACCAGACCTCTGTTCTCTTTTGATAAAGGATTTTAAAAGGTCCCTGAATGAAGTAAGCTGCACTGACAAATTGACTTTTTTTTTTCTTTTATGACTACAACTGTACTGCTTTCTATTTTTCATAGCAGAGGTGTTTCCTTCAAAGGTGGGAGAGGAAGAAGAACTATACATTGTCGGTCATAGCAGTATCAGCAGAAATGCTGCAGTAAAAAGAAAATAAATCTCTATGCTTTATTTTCGGGCTCAAGCACAGTATAAAATTACATTTCTTAAAAGTTTGTTGGATGCTGCCTGAAGTTCAGGCTAACTTTACGTCATCTCTGCAGCAGACTCAGAGCACGTGGGCAGATACCTAAAACCAGATCTCATGGCCCGGGCGATACATATGAGCTCGGCTGCGGTAACCTGGTTGTACAGGTAAAGCGTCAGGCTGAGGGCTGAGGAGAGCTTTGGTGAGAATGGCTGATGAAGTTGGTATTGCTGCCTGTCAGCCCTTCTCCTGCTACGTGGACACCTGACCTGTGCAGCAATCAAATCCTGAGCTGCCCCAGCTAACAGGCGCAGTTTTAAGGCAAAACAGGTGATAACTTGTCTTGAAGCGCAATTCCCATGCAGACTGAGGACCCGCTGAGATAGCTGGCGTGGAGGAGAGGAGGTGAACAGGAGGAGGCACACGAGCTAAATCCTCTTGCCCGTGACCCCAAGCCCCGAGCCTTGTGGTGGTCAGGAAGCAGGTGGGCAAGCTGTCCTATACTGTACTGGCCGATCGTTTAATGTGCAGACAAGACTAAGGAGATTAGAGTGTAGTGGTTGGTTATAAGGAAAGTCACTTCTCAGGTGTTTCATCAGGTCTGGCATGCCCAGCCTCTCCTGTGTCATGTTTCAGGGGGGCCTGAGGGCTAACTGCCCCCCCTAAAATGTGGCGGGCACGTGTGCTGAGCGGAAGGGGAAATCCTGGGCTCTGTGCGTGGCTATTCTGAATACAAAAGTCTCAATGTTCCTCCAAAAGCAACTTTCTTCAGTTCAGTAATTTCATAACACGGTTTAGACCCTTCCAGACTTTACAGGTTTGATCCAGTATTTATTTTTTTTTACAGTCTGGCAAAATTGGTGTTAAGCAGTGTTAACTGAGCTAAGTGACTGGTCTCTCTTACCGTGCCAGTACTGAATAACCTTCCAAAGATCATCTGCTGCTACTATTTATTTCTGAAGATGACTTTTATGGGAAGTGATGCTTTTTGTTAAGACTGAAATTGCTTTGCTTACACAGAATTTTCCAAGGCTGAGATGCTGGATAAATCTGCTTATTTTGCTTAGTCCAAACTGACCTTCAACTATATAATGAAAATGAAAGGATTTCTGCTTTTTTCTTCTTTATGAATGATCAGGTCTTGTTATAATGGAAAAGATTTGAATTTCCTTAAATTCCACTATTTTATCAGCAATAAATTAATAGTAGGAATATAACTATTTAGTGCTGTAAAGGAACGTTTTGCTGCCTGGGAAAATGAAGTATACAGGGGTTTGCCTGAAAACGCTCAATGAGTTAACTAAAAAGCTAGAACTAGAACCATGTTTCCTGAATGGTAATCCTGTTTGATCTAAACTGGGCCATCCTGCTTTGCTTTTTCTTGTGATTTGAACCTGCTTACTCCCAATACATTCTCTCTTTCTTGTTTTAGCAACTCATCAAAATGAAGAAAACAGCAGTCAAGAAATAAGAGGGCTAGAAGAGCTCAAGGATACGTCCGATGCTCAGGTAAATGTGTGAGATTAATAGCATATCAGAGACTTTTTCAGATCCGCAAGTCGAAGGTTCTGCTTTCGATGGCTCGTTAGCATTGGGAAATCGGTTTTCCTCAATGTCCTGAGCAGGGAGCTTGTAGGAAGCAGAAAGTCTGCTGGATCTCGTCTTCTGTGTCTCTTCATAAGATTGATGATCATCGTGGGAATGAATCCCATGATGTTGAAATTGGACAGCATTCTTAAACTGCCTCTGCTCTTTCTAGATAGTACACATAGCATACACCAGGTGAGAAAATAAAATGAGATATGTTTTAGGAGGCAAGGACATGTGACATTTTGATTTAATTTTAATCCCTTTAAGTAGCATGCTATGAAATGAGGATACTTACCAGTCACTTGAGTGCAAGCAACCTTTTCCTTTCCTTACCTGTCTGGCCTTGTTTACAACCAAAGCGTACTTTTAGATAGATACTGCTGAGGAGAAACGTAGCTACTTCCTTGAGTATTTTACTGTGGAATCCCTTACCCCTTTTGATTCTGTGAATCTTTTGGGTTAATCTTCAGCTCATTTGTGCACCCAAACTCTGCAAATTTTATTGGTACTGAATGTCATTTCAAAAAATTGGTTTCTCCCAATCTTGACTTCTTGTTTTTCTTCTCCCTATGCATACAACTGATAGTTCCTATCTCTAATTTCTCTTCTGACATCTTGACAGCTAAAAAGCTGGATGTGAGAAAAACAGGATTTGCATTGGTGCCTATTCTAATGGGTGCAAACAGATCCATGCAGCCCAGCTAGCGGCACCTGTGCATTTCTACAGGTAGACTGCCTTGACCGTGGGACCCCGGGAGGGCCATAGGCAGCTTCGGTAGCAGACTGGGATCATGGCAGTCACCCCAAGAGTGCAGGCAGAATTTCTGGGGCCCATGTGGACGTAAATGGGTATTTCTAGCATTTCCTTTGCAGTAATGCTGGAGTAAGATGTTTGGAAGTGGCCTGCTCTACATTTTTTTTTATTGCAAGCAGGTACAAATCAGTTTAAAGAAAAAGCATAGAAGGAGTCCTAATATGTGAAAGTTTTGTCACCCAGTTTTAATTCCTGATTCACATCAGTGTGGAGGAGAGTATCAGTCCTCTTAAGCTCAAACGTACGTTCCAGAACCATGGAAAAGACCCGAGGGGAAACCCTGATGTCACTGCAAAAAAATTTCAGCTTTCTGTTTTCCTCTTTGTGTTCTGTATCTGCTCAGTTCTACTTGATTGTTGCAGTTGTTATTGTTATTATTGTTTTTTTGAAAATATTTGTTCACAGTTATATCAAAGATGTAAAAATAAAGGTTACGATACGTGTGCTCCCAGCTAGTAAACAGTCAGCTAATAAGATTACATGGGCAGATTATAGAAAAAGTGAGAATTTATTATCAGGATATTGATTCACTCAGCTTTTATTTGGCTGCAAACCAAGCTTCTAAAATTTGAAGGAATTTGAAACATATGTAAAATTAAACTAGCATTAAGTGGCCAGTTAACAAAAGTGTTCAAGTGCGCAACTGGGAGGAGGGCGGTAGCATTATCAAAGCGGCCGTTGCTCTGGTTTGTTTGTCAGTCCTATAAAAATGACATCCTACAAGCACTGAACACAGTTTGCTTTAAGTGTGTGAATGATTTTTTTCGCTTTAGTGAGACTGTGCATGTGACTGGAGTAAAGCAAATGATCTTTCTAGACAGTGATATATGGTTTTTAGTCTTCTGGTTGATCAAAGGTGAAACCTGTAATAATTATATTGTTTTCAACAGAAACAGAAGGAGGCAGAGGTGCAATAAAAAAAGATCTCTCCTGTGAGCAGACGGTGAGGGTTTGGAGCCTGCTCTGAATGCTACTTGGCGGACATAGTATTAACTTATATTGGCGTTACATGGCAGCACTGGTGGAAGTGGGGAAAAAATTCGGTTCAGGGGTGTTTAAAAGGGAGCGTGCTGTAAATAAGATGCAGTCCTGTCTGCCTAGGGATCTGTTATTTCACTTCCATGTTACTTTTAGGATTCTCATTCACCAGTGTTGTGGCCTTTCCGGAGGGAATATTTCCAGTGGACGTTTGAAACAGAAAATGTGTTGTCAGCATTTTTGCTTTTACAAACTGACTAATTTACTTTTCTTCCCATTAAACCTTTTTATGCTGTTTTGAATATTGCGTAAACTCCTTTAATTACAGTAATTTTGGTCTGTGGATAGTGGTAAAGCCTTACTATAAAACTTCTACATTCTTTCATCATTCATTAAATTAAAGCCAGTTAAAATATGCACCTTCATCATTTTAACCTTCACGTAAGTTAGTACTTGCGTCTCTGTCTGCATTCATGAATTACAGGAGTAAACAGTAACATTTGGGCATGCAGGATTTTGGACAGTATGTGCCTGTGCAATATATAAATGCAAAAAGCACCTTGCAAGTAGGGAGGCTTGTCTTTCCCCTGTCTCTGAAGAGCTTTAAAGGCATTGCTTGAGAGTTAAATGTATATTGACAAGTGAAGATGACCAGTAATATGAAACTCTTAACAACATCTTCCCAACCAGCTTTTAGAGGCTGTCAGCAGTTAATTAATTAGCTGAACTGGATGCTTTCTTACATTACTTAGCAGAAAGATGTATAATGGGAAAGCCAGCGTAACAGAGGAAATCAGAATTACATGTGAGGGATTCATATTTTTGTTTTAATTAAGAAGAAGCATATTTAGCCTTTTATATTTTAAATGCATTATTTACTCCCAGAGCTAAGCTTTAAAAAGCTTGTACATTTAACTTGATAATACCCTAGCTTTCCCTGGGGATTTTTGGTTGATCATTTATCCTTTGGAAGCCCAGTAAAATACATTTTTAATATTCCCTGCATTCTTTAAATTAATGAATAGTTAGGGGGAGGAGATGTATTATAAAGTAAGATTTCTTCTTGGTAGTTATTTGAGACAGGACAATGTGATTCTTTAATGCAACTACTGATTTGAATAAAGACAGGTGTTGTGGCAGGAGTAACGGGATTGTATCTGGAGTTATTTGTTCCCTGGGGTGCTCAGCCACGTAGAAAACAATAATACGTTCCCTCTGAACACACAGTGAAACGGTGAGGTCTATGTGTTTGAAAAGTCATCTTTCGCCAGGACGTTTCTTCCACTTGAGCGTACTGAAGCTGATTGTGCTCCCAAAAGAGGATTTTGACTGGGGTAGGGTCTTAACACGAGGGTATCTGAGGAGTCATTTTCAACTTTTTTCGGAGTAGGCTCACTGCCAGTAGCTTCTCATCCTTGTTTCTCAACACCTTGCTCAGAAACCCTTGCTTTTGCCACTCTCCCTTGGCCCCTGATGCCGATTTCTGCAGATTCCTCCTTGTCTTTCCAAGCCATTTCTGCCCGGGCAGCAGCAGTGGCTGGTGCCCCCCCCCTGCTCGGGCTGGGACAGGGTGGAATTCAACCCAGTCAGGTTGTGAGATGCCCTTCAGTGGTTGGAAACTGGGGGGAATTTGGCCCCATGAAATAAACTCTTTTTACTCGGATACTTCAATTTTTCAGTCTTTCCTGTTGAGGCACTTAATGCGAAAATAGACATTCATGTCTGTGTGTATTTGTTTTATTGATGAGTGTGTGTTTTATCCTGCTAGTCAAGGATATTTACAGAATAGAAATCAGACTGGCAATAAAATAATTACGTCAGTCAAAAGATTAGCAGAAAAGGAAATGAAATCTCCATTCCTTCGCTTAAAAAAAAAGTGTTTTTAATTGTTGGGCCTTGCTTCATGCACTGAAGATGAAAAATCCTTGTTCAGCGTAGTGAATAGTGCATTTCTGTCGGAGGTCCACCTGACGTTTGAAATACGGGGACTTCAAACCTTCTGTGCCTCTGGTATGATCTGAGTTGTCTGCGTGGAACATGAAAGAGTGAAACGTGCCCCCAAAGTACTCAGAACCTCTCAAGGTTTGGGAGCTAAATCTTTATGCTCCCAAAGCCCTAACAGGCCCTAACAGGTTAGCCTAGAAGCCTGTGGGGTTTACAAAGCACAGATGTTACACGCTCTGCTAGAAGCACCACTAAGCCGTGAAATAGGCAGGCTTGGCTCTAGCTGATGTCCCTAAGCAATCTAAGTATTGCATAGAGCAAACATCTGACCTCAGCCGAGTCCGTGATAGTTGCCTAGACTCCCTGTGTAAATTACTGGAGAAAAATATGAGTTTTAGGAACAACTTATTTGACCATTTTAAAGTCTCTATTGTAAAGTGAAAGATTTTTCACTTAGTAGGTACTGCTTTTTCTTTATCGATCAAAGAGGCTCCGGACAACTAATTCACTGTAGTTTTCTACATTTAATAAGATCAGTCTCCCCCCTGATCTGCAGGTGATAATGGCATGTCAGCACTGTGGTTTACAAATCCATGTCCTAGAGATCAGGCATTAATCTTATAGAAAATGTAAGGATCTTCAAGTTAGGTGTTGTTATTCCTTATTTCATCATGGATTTCTGACCTTCAAATCAGTGCTCAAGTTCCTTATGCAGCGTGCAAAAAAGTTGGGTTCCTCAGAAGGCTGGGAAGGAAGCGCAGGAAAAGCAAAGCACAGGTTATGTCTGAAATTATTCTCTTCTCCAGAGCACAAGTGACTGATGCAGGCTTGGGAGGAGCTGCCTGCATCCAGGCTGGAGGAATGTAGGCATGTAGAATTTTTCTTTCAAATAATTCTGTGAGAATGACTCTTTAGTTTCAGTAGTGGCACCTTTTTTTGCACGCCAGCGTTAAAGCACTTACTCATAAAGTAGATTTAATACCCTCCTCAGCTGAAGAAGCCTCAACCAACATTTCCCACTTCCTTGGAGAAAACAGCAGGCTGTCGGGTAGCCTGGATGGGCACTCTCCAACCTTCAGCTGTTGTGGAAGGAGATGCTGAAAGCCGAAGGGATTGGAAGCAAGTGCGAGAGCCTGCCTGACTTGATGAGTTAGGGGTCAGGACACCTCTGGCTTTTGGTCCTGGCTCCCAAGATGATTTATGGATTTTAGGGTAAATACTCATTGAGTAAAACTCAGGATGAGTAGCAAAAAGAAAAGGGCGGAGGAAGTGAGGAAGAAGGTTTATTTGCAGATTGCCCTTCAAGTCATATGGCAGTAACAGAGCCACGCCACATCCCAGGCCCTCCCAGGACAGATGCCCCTGCCATCAGGAAACACCTGGGCTAATAAAGGCTACCCAGTGTCGACCGAGGTCCCAGTTACGCAGAGGCTGTATCCATGATCAAATCGGACAGTGCTCTTAGCCACGGACTTTGAAGTGAGCAATTTAGCCCTTGTCAGCTAACGTGCTGAGAGATGGATCTGATATGTTTGTGTGCGAGCCTGAATGTGTCTTTACATACATGTCATTTTTATAAAACACCAGTGCTGAATGTTATGACAAAACAACACTGTCAGTATAGCTAATCTCACAGCTCTCGGCTTGAATAATTGGCAGCGTATTAGCCAAGAAAATAGTTCTAGCATGTTTTAGAACCATTAATTCTAAATAGTTCTCTAACACTATTTTAAAAAATAGTTCTAACGTTTTAAAGCAAATGTTGTTTGCTTTCCTAAACAGAATTGGATGATATTAATTTCTTATTTATAGAATGCATAAACATGGGGCAACTTTCATTTAACTCTTATAGATTGCATACGTGAAAAACGTTGGCGTTGGAGCAATGGGAGTTCTAGTATGTTATTTTTAGGAGTGACTGTGTTGCACTTCATTCTTTTTCCAGGGCTGTTCCCAGCTAACTTTCCCATGAGTTTTTAACCTCTTGCTCTTGTTCTCTTATGTAACAGGAAATAGGTTGACAGGAACAAACAGACTACAAGCATATCAGTCAGCCACATAGTAGCAGTTGATTTAGCTAGCCCTGCCTTCTCTCTTCCAAAGTAGATACATTTGGAGATTCAGATGTGCCTCAGCTCTTCTTGAGCTGTTTCGGGGGGGGAGGCAGCGATTTATTTGTGGTCAGCAAGCGGCACAGAATTACGGCAAATATGATAAAACAGATGTGTTTCTTTTAAGGTTGAAACTTGTGGCGGTGTCATGTCCTGGGATTGTGGATTTAAGTATCTGTTTGCTCTTTCTCCCACCCTTAAGGCAGGGGTTTTGTGCAAGCTTCAGGAAAGAGATGACATTGGACGGATTGAGCTAGTCCAGAAGCTGGCAAGAGAAAACTGTCAGTTTTTGCAGGCGGATAGAAAACAACCAGAGAAGACAGAACAAGTAAGACATTTCTTGTTTGGCTTTTTTTTGTTTGTTCCTGGTAGGGGAGGGAGATCTAGGTCAGAAAACTGAAACAGCAAAGCTGATGGTCAGAATCCAGGACGCACATTAGTCATGGCGCTGTTAACTGTTCTGTTTTGTCGCTTACAATTGTCTGAAATGTATTAAGTTCAATATTTTTCAACACATTTAAATTATTATTATGTTGACATTAACTGTCAATTACTGTTATTAGTAGTATCGCATAGCACATAAAATAGCAGATGATTTCTGCATGTATCAAATTGTTGTTTCTACCAATTATAATCGAAATGTTTTGTCTGTTTAAAGGTGTATTTAAATAATGCATAAAGTATATGAGTGCTTACAGCACTTATTTTTTAAAAATTTGTCTTAAAGAAAATTACTTTGCTGCTGGTGTATTTCGAAGAAAGTGTTGGCTGGAGCTTTTCAATGTGGATTAAAAAAATGATCTGGATAAGGAATTCAGCAGCTGCTAAAAAAAACAATTGTATTGTCAACCAAAACTTACACTGAGGAAAACAGCATTCTGTTTATTGCTTCTGGAAACACTTATTCAAATGTTAGTAACTGGATTGAAAGTGCACTGAAACATGACTGCTCTGCTTATAGCACAATGTGTCTTTAATTTTGTTCTCCTGGTAAAAATTTCTATTCTGTTTGCATATTCATCTAAGGCTCCCCAGAACGATAACTGCAAGAAAAAACAAAAATCCCACTTAGTCTTCCTGTATCTTTTTATATATATAAAATCTGCTCTATTTTCTACTTACTGAGAGATAGAATAAAATCTGTGCTTTAGAAAAGAATTACTTTTCAGCTCCTCTGCGAGCTCATTCCTACTGAAGTAGGGCTATACAAAGGAAAAGAGAAAGATGAAACCTTATTTCAGAGCTTCACGCTGGTCTGTTCAGCAGCATATAAGGTCTAGGCTTGAGCAGTTAAATATGTAATTGTATCAGTTGGTACACACAAGGGAGGGGAGTAATTAGCTGTGCTCAAATCCCTGGGATTGAATTGCTCCTCAGCTGATCCACTCGCCATGGACATCTGGCAGAATTTCCATGTATCTTTAAACCGTATCAGCAAAGCACAATTAAAAGTTTAGGAGCTTATGTAAAGAAGATTTTTAGCCAGGAAAGGTTTCTAATTGTGTTTCAGGATTTTGAGCAAGATTACAGATTCTGTGGGCGTATGAAAGGGGGGAACGTTGGTGCTGGTACTCCAGAAATTCACTGGTGTTTTTGCTGCTTGCTGTGGTCATTGCAAAGGGTAATGCAGTGTCAGCTGTAGTTCTGTAGCTGCACGGGGTGCAAAGCAGTTCTAAGAATGGAAAGACGTGCTCAGCTTTCCTTTATTTCCCCTTTGAAAAGTACGGTACTTGGCAATTGCTGGCATACTTTAGGAGAGAAATGGCTTCGGTTTAGCAGGAGCAATCGCAAGCTGTGATGTGCTCCCTCTGCCCTGTTTGTGCTACACTGGTGGTTTTAGGGGTGGGTGGTGCTGTGGCCACCATGGGACCTGTGGTCTAGGCAGCCCAGGCTCGGATGCGGGAGAGACTTCCAGTCTTCGGCATAGGTGTGTTTGCTGAGAACCCATCTAGTCTATTGATTTCACGAGGAACGGTCATCAAATAAGGCATTACTGAGTCTGGGCCGCTCCGGGTGCCCTCTCTTCTCCGAGGAGGAACACAGCAGGCTACAGCGCAGTGAGTGCCGCTAGTCTCTTGCCCAGGCTCTTGTGCTCGTTTGAGATGTTAGAGAAACAACGTGCTCAGGGTGTGGTGTCCTTACAAAATAGTGCGTAGCATGCCCATCTCTTTTTTTCAAAAAGCATAGGTTACTTGAACATTACTTCCTTAGAAATACTAATACAGGATAACGGGCGCTTTGTGAAGACCGGAAAATGGAAAAGCTCTGTGTGTTCTCTGCAGGGCCCTCGTTTCTCAGCAAGTATCCCTGCGCTAAGTCTTTCACCAGCTTTCCTTCCTGGTGAGCTCAAACTGTGCTTTCACGGATGATCTGCCTTCCTCAAAGGGAAGCTGTTTGGTCTGTAAATGAAATGCACGAACATCCTGCCATGCTCTTCTTTCAGCACTTCAACAGCCTGCTAGCTGGGCTAGCCTTCCTGTCAATGCAGCTTTAAACAGTAATCATACCGGTTGGCAGCGCTGTGTGTTTTAACGAGCCGTGGGCAGCGTAGCTGTTGGAGGCCAGAGGCTTTGCCACCACCCTGGAAGTAAAGCTGCAGTTTCTAACATGGTCAAGGTGGAACTGCTCCTCTAAGTGGAAGTCTAATTTGTTCTCCTCTAGGAACACTTAAAAAGGGGGAAAAAAACTTGAATGCTGAGTTAGAATTCTAACTACACATATTTCAAATATAAGTACATTATGTCTCACTCACTTAAAGTGTCAGGGAAATTGAATTGTGGCTCCTCTGTTGCTACCCACTGTGTTTCTAAGGCAGCTGTATTCAGACTGGTACAACCTTACTCAGTTTTCTTATCACTAGCAGCAAACACAAATGTAATATGATTGGGCTTTGCCGATTCTTGTATCTTCCCCTGAAGAAGGAAGAGCTCTTGGGCTCACTGGGGAATATGGTATCCAGTGAACTTAGCCTTTTTTCCTGTTCGGTGAGTGAGGTGTAAAGCTGCTTGGGGAAGTGACCTTCCTTTCTCTTTTGCGTTGGTAGTGCTCTGAGTGCGACGGGGATCTAGTTTGGAAGTAGGACTGCTGAGCACTCCTGTCATTCAAATAATTAATGGCCAGCTTAATCTGTACTTGAGGAGAATTTGACTCTCATAGCAAGGGTAAATGACGCGTGGGTACGACAGAGTCTGGGCTGCCTATATGCCAGAGGTCCTCGGACAGGTAAAATACCTGGACGTGCTCTTCAAGGTGTGATGCTGGGGCTAGGATCTGCAGCCCACAGTGGGCAGGTGGAGCACGAATTGGTTTGGGGCACCGGTCTGTTCAGAGAGAGATGAAATATAATTATCTCTTTCTCAGAAAAAGCAGATGGTCTGGAAGAGGGGAAAATATGTGACAGCTGGGTAGGTCACTAGAGGAAACAGCTCATTTTGGAACTATGGTGACAGAGAGAAGGGATTCCTTTGGTCTAGGTCTGTTTTGGAGGGTATAAAATTGGGGCATATGATGATTTTATGCATAAATACATTTTTATTTCATAGGTTAAGCACTCAATTCAGAAAGTCCATATTCCTTTTGTTTCAGGTTTCTGGTGTGCTATCGCTTCTCTACAAATTTATCATTGGGATAAATCGTAGCATTTCTTCAGAAAACTTTTTTTTTTAAGTTTTCTGTGCAAGCTCTGTTTTATGTGAGCTGCTACTTTCTTTCTGGCGCTGCAAGCTTGTTATGACCATGTTAGACTGGTATATTGGAAGATGAGATTGTTTTCTGTAGCACAAAATGCCAAATTCTTCTCTGGTGAATATAACGTTTGCAAAATGCTCTAACTGTAGTAGTACTAACAGGCTTGTAGAGGAAAACAGACACTAAAGTAAAGTGATTTCTTTCCCATTACCATTTCTTAATGTGTTAGAGTAAGGTTCTTTGTTAAGGCGCTGCGTATGTCATATGTGTTAGGTTTCCTAAAACTTGTTTTGCTGATAAGCAGAAAGTAAACAGTAGTAAATAAGCTTCTAAATAGTGAGATCAGTCTTTTCTCTGTGCTGTCTCATTCCTTCAAGGTAAAAATCACTTTGATAAAAAGCTTTGAACTCTTTATCTAAAATGCACAGAAATTCTTTTAGTTCCAAGTGTGACCCAGAGTAAAAATGACAATGCAAGCTGGCAGTTTCTATTGCTTTTACAAGCAAATCACACATAAACTTAGAGAAATGTAAAATGAGATATTTGTATTTTTGTTATTTAAATACTTAATTTCTTCATCAAACAAATGCATTAAAACAATTGCTTTGATAGAAAATAGATTGAGAATATTTATTGAAATATTCAGCTATAAAATGAGTCTGCTTTTTCAAGAAGTTTACTTACAGTTAGCACCAATTATAATATACCAAGTAAGATACAAACAGCAATTTGAAGCAATGTGTCATAGCTTTTTTTGCTCGAGAAGTCATTTGAGATGCATTTGAGGCATATTGGCACTAAACAGTATTTTTTGGGAACTTCTTTTTAGGAACCATAGACTCAAATAAATAATGTCTTTGTAATAGACTTGATACTGTTTCTGGTTTTATTTCAGTGAAGTGTTGCACTGATTTAAAAAATTACATCTGTTTATAACGTTATTCTCAAATATCTTCTTACTTCAATAATCTGAGAAAAATATTCCTCAGGTTATACTACTGTTTGCATAGTTAGAGCAGTTGAGTAAATTTTTTTTTGAGTTAACGCTAATATTCAAAGGAAATTCAAAACTCTCTAATGTGTTCAGACCAACGGAAGAATATGAATTCATTATTCAACCACATAAATTATATTCTAGGCTGGGGCTGCTTCAGTACTTCAGTGCATGAGTGGGGAGGGAAGCGTTTCCTAAATCCACCTTGTAGTCTCTTTATGGATTAATGCATGTATTAATAAGGGTTACATGCTGTATAAAAATACATGCTGCTTTAGTATATTGATTCTGTGATTTAGCTAATTTGAGATTAGAGTTATATCGTAGGAGGGCAGGTGTGTTTTCAGGAGGACAACAGATATTTAAAACCAGCTTTGTTAATATACAGGGTACTAACTTTTCTAATCAGTGGTCTCATTAAGAAGACAGATGATTTGC